ATTGGTCCGTCGGAGGAGGGGGAGAAATAGCCGCTGGTGGTGGGGGGGAAACGGTAGTGGGGGGTGGGGAGATGGGGGACTCCGAAGGGGGGGGCTGAGATTGGGACTCTGGAGGCGGGAGGGGCGTAACGGGTGATGCTGAGGGGGAGGGCGACGGCGAAAGTGACGGGGAAGGTGACGCGGAAGGTGACGGAGAGGGCGAGAATGAGGGGGACGGTGACGGAGATTGTGACGGAGAGGGCGAGAATGAGGGGGACGGTGACGGAGATTGTGACGGAGAGGGCGAGTTGGACGGAGAAGGCGACGGAGATTGCAAGGGAGACGGCGACGGGCTGGCGTCCGCAGGCGCGTCCGTGGGCGCGTCCGTAGGCGCGTCCGTAGGCGCGTTCGGCGCCACCGTGTCTGCATCTGCGGATGGCGGGCTGGCGTCCGTAGGCGCTGGGGTGTCCGGTGACGGCGGTACGGGCGTTTCGGACGGCGGGGGGGTGTCCGGCGGGTTCGTTTCCGTCGGCGTTGGAGTGGGGGCGTCCGTGGGCGGAGGCGTGTCCGGTGGAAGCGTGTCCGTCGGCGCGGGGGTGTCCGGAGCTGACGTCACGGCCTCCGTCGGGGCAGGCATGTTCGGAACGGACGGTGCTGGCGTGTCCGGAGGCGAGGTCGGTGCAGACGTATCGGACGGTGCCGGCGTGTCCGGAGGTGACGTCGTCACCGGGGCTGGCGTGTCCGGAGGGGCGGTGTCCGGAGGTGACGTAATCACCGGGGCGGGGGTGTCCGGGGCTGACGTCATGGCAGGGGCCGGAGTGTCCGGAGCGGAAGTCTCCTGCGGCGCCGGCGTGTCCGCAGGCTGGGGACTCGAAGTGTCGGACGGGGCTGGGTTGTCCGCAGGGGCAGAATTGTAGTTGCTGGAGGGGGATCCCCCTGATCCGATGTTTGTCCCGCAGTCGTAGCTCTGTCCGGGAGACCAGCCGCTGGGGATGCAGTCGGTCAGCTCGGCGGTCTGGCCCCGGTCAGTCGAGATTCTGGGTAGCGAAAAGGAACAGCCGTAAGAATATGAACGGTAGAAGCTACAACCGTGGGCTGAGAACGGAGAAGGCAACATTTGTTGGATCGGTAAGCAAAGATGCATCGTTTCTCACTTAGCTTTCTTCTCAACAGCTTTCCTTCTACGCGTCTTTCTCAAGCAGCACAGGCAAGCAGAGTCGTCGCAACTTTACCACAAGCAGAATAATGCGAAGGCTCAGACTCCGACAATCTTTGCGTCAGTATTATCCAAACACAACGGCGCTTCGTTTTTGCACAACTTCGCACTCACCTGACGGTGATCGCGCCCGACGGCGGGCCGTAAATGAACCAGTCGGCGCCCCTGAAGTCCACCTTGTTCATCGTGTTCCAGTCGGACGATCCGGACCGGTACTCTGCGGACACCACTTCGCCGTCCCCGGCGATATTCCGGATCATGACGCCCAACCAGTACGGGTTTGCGTCCGACTCAATAACCAGCTGGATGTTGCCCTGGCGCTGGCACTGGACGCTGGAGAAAATAAGGACGGAGTGATTGGAGTTCGTTTGAGTTGTGGTTAGCGGGGGTTTAGCCAGCGATTGGCCTTTTAGGACGTGCCGAATCTCGTGTTCTCGTGCCGGGGTCCATCCCAATATGCAAGTCTCCTGAATGCTCGTTCTACATCATCCATCTCTGGAGCGACAACGCTCGCCGGACGTCTGTGAGCAACCGAATCATGAGAAGACAGCTTTGATATGAAGGGTGCCTTACAGGTCGGCAAGTGCTTCCTGAAGAGAAATAAGGTTGCGCGTCGACCGAAAACCTACTTGGCTGCCAGTGTTGCCTTTATAGTACCGACAGGTAGGAGGTACGGTGCTGTTCAAGCTGTAATACTTCTATGGTTATGTACCTTAGTCTACCTCGTGGATTTGGAAAGCCATCCGATTGGCTAAGAAATCTGGAAAGCTTTGTGCAGCTTTTCGGTCGACGCGCACCCTAAACGAGTGAACGGAGCGGGCATACGAACTTGTCATGGCTCTCTCTGGTCATCGACGTCAGCACTTCAACACGAATCTGGATTTTTGGATGTTTTTAGATGCGGCGCATCAAGCAGGTGATCTCGGGACCCACCATTGCGCTCTTCGAGCAGACGTCAATCCGCTTGCAACCCAGAGCTCTTCTGCAGAATCAGCATTTTTGATAGGAAACTATTCCGTTGAAACGATTGGGTCTGTTTGCGGTCTACTTACCGACGCCACTGGATGAAGACGATGCCTGCCTGCACGTTGGCGATTTGCGCGAAGCCCGCTGGATCGAAGTCGAAATGGTAGCCCGTGCCTTCGCAGTTGTTGTCGTTCGAGCTACAAAGGCATCAGGTATATCCACCTTTGCACAAGCACACATTTGCAGGGGCCAAAGAGGCTCAATGCAGCCGGGAAATGGCGTTTTTGGATGTAAGAGGCGACCGTTAAAGCTCTGCAGACTACTCTGACGGGCTGCCATCTCGTCAGACTCGTTGCGTCTCTGCTTTCTGCAGCTTCCTTGCATGCTACTGGACTCAGATTTGTCGGCAGGGACGTCATTTAAAGTCCAATATAAAGCCTTCGCAGGCGAACAGATCAAGCACTCGCTTGATGTGATCGCGAAAGAGGCGAAGCGATTCGGCAAGGCGTGTGAGCTTCTCTCGAAGGCGACTACTCGCAGGCCTGCCCAAGTTCTCGAAGCCTTGCACCACACGGCCTTCCTTGGAAGCTGATGTCAGCTAAAGAGTTCCGCTCACACGAGCTGCGACACGTCAGCTAGAACATAAAAGCCAGACTGGTCATGCGCTCCGCACGTCGTACCCACAGCTCTCAAGACCTCAGATCACACCCAGCCTCGCTGGAGAGCTTGAGAGGCTTCTCTGCTCACCTGCACACGTCCGTCTCGTCGGACAGTGTCACAGTGATGGGCCCTGCGCCAGGGACGCAGTCGTTGCTGCGGGAGCTATCGCACTGGACCTCGAAGCATGCCCCGCACACCTGCGCGAAAGGACACGTGGCATCTTCTCAGACCACCGGAGCGGTTTTAGAATAAGCTCAGCGGCAGAATGAGCTCTGAAGCAGCAGAATCAACCACCTCGAGCTGCACAAGTGACTACCATCCTCTTGGATCTACCTGCTCGCCATTCGCAAAGACTTCTCTTCTTAATCGGTTGATGAATCAAAAGCTGAGAGCTCAGTCCTTGATGAATCAAGATCTGAAAGCTCAGGCCTTCTGACCTCAAGCAAGTGGTAATCGCACGAAACCGCGATTGTGCCTCAATCTAAGATCCTAGAAGGAATAGGTGCCGATGCTCGACTTACCAGACCTCCTTGGAACTGGTCAGTCCCGATGGCTACGACATTGTTTCCGTAGTAGCCAAAGTAGCGACACTGGCCCCCTGGAGAAAGAACGGGCTACTTACAATCAGTCCCCTAAAGAAGATGCAGCAGTTACCGGACTGCATCGTCGTTTTTGACAGAGAGAGAGAAGCCCGTTGAGGCTCTTGATATTGTGTGGTCCATGAGCGTAAGTGACGATTCTGTTGGCACTTGCTGTGATAGTGCCAGTACTGAGCAGACGTGCAGGCTTTCTTGCCAGACCCCATCTGGCTCCATAACCATTGAAAAAGTAGAGCCGTGACTCTTGTGGTAAAATAGCTAACAAGGAATCTACCAGACTGTCAAGTTTCTGCAACGCTTCTGGGTGGGACCTCTACTGTAAGCAAGCACGACTACAGCTTCTAGTGAGCACATGAGGACGTTCCCTCCCAACTTTAGCTGGTAAAGTCCTAGATGGATCGGAAGCAGGTTCTTCTATGACTCTGAGCTGGTAAATTCCTAGCCCCAAATTCAAAGGTCGGGCTTTTGGCCGTCCTCATTTGCTGTGCTACTGCTGAAGGAAATCTTGTCTCCTGAATACGAGACCCCAGTTGCTTGCACAACGAGCCTTAACCTGCAACTCCAGTAATTACCTTCTTGTCAAATGGTTGGCATTGCATTGCATCTTTACCCAACTGCTTTCGTGTATCAAGCTGAAGCTGACCATACCAATCAATTCACCCTACTACTTTACCATTCTTGCACGACGCCTCAGAGCGGTAAAACGGCTGAAAGTACGCTGACATCTGCTGAAAGTCCAAGCTCCATGGCACATCATTCCTGCTTCTTGAAAGTCCCCACAAGAGCACCACTTAAGCAATAAAGAACTCGTTTAACTGCCCCGAGGTACGATTACTGACAGTCGGATCTGATGGCCGCCCCAAAATAAATGCGAACTAGGCCCGGAATTGTCAGCCCAATTACCTGCGCCAGCGCCTGCGTAGAACGTTGCCCGCCCAGCCGTCCATTCCGTGTTGTCAAGCGGGCCCGCAAGCGCTGCTGACGTCAGCACTATGAGAACGAGCGCCGAGAGCGCAGCCCTTTTCCACTTCATCCTGCGCCAGCTCTAGACTTTTTTATTACCCACAAGTGACGGCGCTTGTTGCCAAAGCGCAGCTGGTGGTCCGCCTTTGCTCAGACCAGCTTTCTTATGGAGCAACCAGTGTATCTGTGCCCTCTAAGTCTGGCGTGTTCAGAATTCTCGGGGATTTGCCTCACATGTGGCACATGTAAAGCAAGTTTGAACCACTGGCACAGGACAGTTCATATCTCGCTTAAGACGTCAAATTTTAATGATAAAGCTTCTACAATGACCGCCACGGTAGGTTGCAAATGCTCGCAAGCATGCTGCAACTTATATTCTCTGGCCAAGCTGCCGGCTGGTCACCTCTGTCTTCAAGATCTGTGCTGCCTTCAAGTCAACTTGCTCTCACAAACTATGCAGCATTGAGAATATTGCTAGCTCAGAAGCTACGGTTTGAGAGGCCGGGCGCCAACAAAGGTTCTCCTTGCCAGCATTCGAGTATCAAACCATCAAGGCTTCTGGTTCAATGGCCCACAAACTGCATGGAGTGCGTCAGTCCTTTGAGCCTCCAATCCTAGATCTTTTTAGCTACTGAATAGAGTTGCTATCACCTTTCTTGCGCGGGTCGCAGTTCAGCTGGTCAGCTGGTCAGCTGTTCAGCTGTGTCTGCGACTGCTGCAAATTGAGTGCTCGCTCCCATCTACTTTCACGACTGGGTTTCGTGCCTCTGAAGCTTACACCTCGTAGGGTGAAATGGGTCAGTTCCGCAAGCCTGTTGTTGTCAGAGATTGCTGATCCCTAATTCTGGAGTGATAGAGCTGCAGAGCTGCAAACTTTGAGGATCAGGTGCACAATATGTAATCGGCGGCCGGCGGCTTCCACACAACACTTCGCGCGAACGTTGGTGTCCGCCCTCCATTTTATCGGCGGCCGGAAAATCCTGTCGTATCGAGCATCGACGGTTTGAATCTGCCACAATTCACCGATATATCCGCACTACAATTTGTCCCCACAATATGTTTTTATATAAAATCGACGACAAATACTTTTAGCGGGTCGACTTGCCCGGCAGCGTATTCCGGTATCGACTGGCGTTACAGGGCTGGCAGAGGTTGCATAAAGAAACCGCCGCCCAGCCGTGGGCCTTGAGGTCCCTGAGTGAATTCATGCCGCTGAATCCTCCGACGTCCTGAACCCCGAGTCACAGTCAGAGTAGGAATGCCGGCCGCGGCTGCCGAACGCCGCGGCGCCACGGTCCGCGGGGCCTGCTCGCTGTGCTCGCTACTTCTTAGTGGATGCCTAGTGGATGCCTGGGCCGACGTTTCATTGGGTTTCAGGTGAGTCGGATCAGGTGCGCATTTGAAATACAGACACACGCTCAATGAAATACAGACACATGCTCATTGTTTTCATTAAAGGCTCTGCCCAATTGCCATCGTTCTACGCGCGTCGGACTGCGCGTCCCGGCTTCCATTCAAGGAATGTCAATGGGCCTCATGACACTCATGACGTACTCTGTACACCCAGTTCACACAGTCCAAATTGACAAAGTGGCACGTCATCAATGGCGCTTCAGCTCGCTATAACGTACGTAGGCGCTCGACGTTTGAAATGGAGAGACGTGCATGGTGCCAGCAGTTGCCACGCGCTGCCTTTTCGAGCGCTAGTGGCATAAAATGGTTCCATTGTTTGATCTGATGCGGCAATAAGAAAGCAAAGAGCTGTTTCAACGATCATACCGAGAAAATCCAACCTGTATCAGGATGGGGCACGAAAAGTACGCTTGGATCAAACTCTTGATTACCATGATAGCCGCGACATATAAATACTATAGTATAAAACTCATACTTATTCAGGACCAACGTCGTAACATGCGAGGAGAACCCTGCTGAGCCAAACATTTTAAGAGGAAGCAAAGGACAAAGTTGCCATCTTCTGTGCTGGACACATTTTAAGATCAAGAAGTCAGCTGCATGGCTCCAGGCGGAATACTGTTGAAATACAGAACATTCAAGGAAGCATTGCAAACCAAGCTAGAGCCTTGTCTCGCTTCACAATTGTCGAGCTCCTAGCTCGAAATCAACAAGGTCCTCGTGACTTTTAGCATGCGCTACCCGGAATAACCAAGTGGTTCGGATGCAGATGAGAAGCAAATCAAATTACTCCGCTTTTCTCCTCTACTTTCTCCATGTTCATAGATTCTCTGAGCTGTTTCGCAGCCTTCTTGAACATTCTCTCTGTTTCTTTCGACTTCTCAATTGTGATCACGCCACCAGGTTGATCTTGCCAGTGAGCGAAGGAGTACTTCCTGGCTTCGCACTCGTCCCGGTGTCCTGACTTCCAGTCGGCCTTTTGACAAGCTGCAAAACGTTTCCAAGCTTAGAGATAGACACACCTCGTCCTGATCTACTCAATTCTGATGCTAGTTGTACTTTCATCTCACTCCTGAAATCCTTGAACACGATGTGATTAGAGATGGCACACTTTCTGTGGCCTGTGAACAAGGAATGGACGACAGCTTCTATCTCGCCTACGCAAACTTCGACATTGTGATTCCAGACAAGCACTACTTGATGAAGCAACGCTTTCCACCCTCTGATAAGTGCTTAATCTGGGTGTTTCCTCACCTTTGGAGCAGTATCGAGCTTTCTCGCACTTTGCACATTTCATGAGAGCCGTGCCTTCCTTCCGGCACTGCACAAGCAGCAATTTGTCAAGGCTTTCTTCATTACATATCCAGTGTATTCCTCACCACTGAGATTCACGTGTATCGAGAATTACCAATCATACGATTCAAGTGTCGACTTTCAAAAATCTGAACAGCCGAGCATCTTGAGACACCGGTCGACCATCTCCGTTCTCGAGCTTGGCGCAAACCACTGGACTTAGTCAGTGCAGACGAGAACATTTGAAGGAAGGCGCGGAACGCTTCGTATTATTGAATCGGCCGCCCCACCTGCCAGCAGTGCTTGAGCATGAAGAAGCTCTCGTCCAGCACGAGCACCGTAGGCGCCTTCTCAAAGTCCTCAATGTCCTGGTCGGTCTTGGGGACGGCATACATCGTCACCGGCTTGTGGTCGATCCATTTCTGCAGACCGTGCACGCCGCCGTAGACCTCGTATGGGGTCAGCTCCACCAGGCCCTTTGCGTCGCGCAGAGTGCTTACCTGCAGAGCAGAACGGATTGGCTAGAGTCCATCTTTTGCTTTGTTTGCGTCAGCATGAATCTCAGCAATATGGAAGCCTGTAACGAATCGACAGGCCCTGATCCAAAATATCTTGAAGGACGCCAAAGGATAACAACATGCAAGTCGAGCCATTTGGGTGGCAATCCGCAGGTTCAGGAGAGAGCATTCTCTAAACATACCAAGCTTTTGTTTGCTTCTTAAAGTTCTGCGGGTTCCAAAAGGTGTCCATCCTTTATTGTCAAGCTGCCATCGAAGAACTCTGATCTTTACATCAAATCAGGGACCAATTTTCAAACCTTTTAAGCGTCCTGCCTCACTCTTTCAACCCATTTGCACCTCGCTTTAACGAAAAAACAGGGATGACGTCGAGCTTCTAGAGGGTAATGAAAATACAGGCGCACCCGGTAGGGTCGTCTGGAGATGTTCCACCGTGTATCTTCTGGATTCGGTACATCTGCATCCGCTGCACTCTCGCCAAATGTTGCATGCTATCGAAACGCTCGCAGCAGCCGGCAAAGATCTGGTCCTCAGCCCTGCGGAGAAACGAAATGAACGAATTGAACGGTGACTTAAGGGCTATCCTCGTGAGACAATATGAGACAACTTCGATTTGTTTGGCATAACTGCCTGTGGTAGAGCGATACCAACCTCAAACTACCGGAGCAGATTCTTATGGAGACGCGAAGGAGCGCATAGGAAGCCCAGTATAGAGACGAGGCGGTGAAATTGCAGCATGTAAAATGAGTCGAACCAGGGAACTCGAATGATTCTGACCAACAATTGCATAGGATGTTGGAACAGCCTTCTGACCTTGTAGAGAAGGTCGAGATCGTCGGAGATTCAGCATGAGCATCCTTTCAGCAGACTCAATCAAAGTGCTCCCTCCGAGAGTACCCACAGAAAGCAATGGTCCTTGCTTTTTAAGCGGGAAGCACGTTCCTGGGGTTCCTAAGGACGACAAAACTGAAGTCCAACTCACCATGGAATTATCACCACGCTCCTCGGCTCACACTTCAGGCTCTTTGCTATGCACTCCACAACGCGTGGCAGCAGCATCCGTGGCAAGGCCCGGTCATCGGAACAATTTATCGAAACGTATCTTTGGTCCAGACGATGTAAGCTGGTAAGGTAGATGCTCTGGGGGGGCCGCGTCTTCAAGTAATGCTCAATTCCATCTTGGGACTTGAACAGAGTGCACCGCAGGTTCTCGGGCGTGGCTCGATCGAGGTTCCTGATGGCGATGTCAAAGGCTTCCTCCTCCGTGAGGTTGTTGGCTAACAGATAGACACGTGGCAGCCAACGATCGAGACGCTCAATTGCTTCGCCACTGATCTCTGTGCTCTCGGTAAGCGCCATCTGAAGTTGCCCTGATCCGGCGCTGACCGGACGGTAGATGAGCCTGCTCACGTGATCTGCCAAAGCGTCCGAGCCCTGTTCTCTCAAGCTCCTCTTGTAAAGCTGAGCTCCACTTTTCTGCTGCGCTTCCAGGTTCTGCATCTGGTCTAGCGTCCTGACTCTCGGGATAAGCTTCTCGAATGCGGAATCGGCTTCTGACCTCAATTGCGCTTCAAAGTTGCAGATGACGGTGATATGCTCCTTCATGACCTTCTGGCAATCCCGAATGCTATTGATGTTCCCATGGTGCTTTTCGTAGCTGCTGCGAAGACCTAGGTCAATCTTCTCACCAGCGGGCAGGCCTGGCCATCCTGTGATGCTGATGAAGATGTCATTCGGGGCTGAGCAACTGGAGTCCTTCCATGAGGCCCCAACTTCCTGAACCAGCTCTTTGACAGTGCTCGAGAACTCTTCAAAAGATATCTCCATGGGCTTGAAGCGTGTCCCAAACAGAGCTTTTCCGGAAGTCCTCAGGTCTTCGGGAAGGCCCATGCGTCGCAACCGCTGGGGACTGAAGTCTTCCATGACTGCGCTCCACTGATGAATCTTGGAGGAAGCCAGAGGAAGCTGTCTCTCACCGTACAACTTCAGATAATGGCACTTCACCTTCAAAGTCAAACCACTCCGACTTGAACTCAAATTTCAAAGGTCTGCAAGACGCACATGCATCGTTATGGGGACGAGGCAGCTAAGTGACTTTTGGGGAATGTCAGATGTTGTTTCAGACCACAACCCAAGTCATTCTTGGGCTACCGGGCAATCTTTGATCATAATCAAAGCGAAGAGTCCTTCGGATCTGGCACCTGCAATCTCTTCTTCAAATCTTTGTGGTTGCAGTTCTCCTGATCCATAACCTAGACCTTCATACTGAAGCATGCCAGCGGAAAAAGGCTCTAGATGATACAGAGAAGGATTAGGGATGATGAAGGATGCTGGCATACAAAGCGTAACTCAGCTGACCTGTCATCCCACGTCTTCGAGAATGAAAAGCCATCAGTATCCAACAGCTTTAATTTGATGTTTACTTGAATCCAATTTTCCGAAGGCATCTAAGCAAAATCAGAAGACGGATCTGAGATCTTACCTTATAAAAGCTGGCTTAAGGATCCAGGGATGTGTGAAAGCTGCATGTTCAAGGAACCATATTATGTTACAATCTGCTTTCACATATGAGAATTGAGATTGTAATCTTCTATCTTGGGAAACGCTCTTGAGTCGTTCAATGGCGCTCGTCCTCTGTTGCAGCAACCAGCAATGCCTTCAGCGCAAATGAGGCGGACTTTCTCGAAGAGCGCGCTCCAAAAATGTAAGGCGAAGTCTATGCTGGCGCGAGGTCTTTCGGACTTTCCAAAGAAAGAGCCGTTCCTTCGTGCATGTCTCACAATGACCTTGCCTCGTAAATTCTTGGTGCGAGATTGGTGGTGGCGTTTTAGGAACAAATTGGAGTCGTCAGATCAGAAGAAACGAACTTGCTGCAGGGGTCAACGGTTCAGATTGGGCCTTGTGCTCTTCAGTACTGTATACTGGGCCGTAATATTGCACAGTCTCATGCAGACTTACTTGTTCGACAGGCTTAAACCCTGCTAAAACTCTGTCGCGCTGTGGCGTCAGCGGCCCGCGGCCGCGGCTCCTGAAATCAGGACACTAAAAACAGCAGCCTGAGCAGGCGCTCTTGCATCAAGATACTCTGAGAGCGGCGAATATGGGGCGGGCTCAAGGTGCGCCGGCACTCATTGTGTTGCTTGCAATTTGCTTCATCACAGAGAGCAACCCCGTGCAGGCTGCCAGGAACGTCTCCACCAGCACAGAAATTCTGAGCCAGCTTTCGTTGCCGGAGCCACTTCTGGTTAACGAATTTCTGAGAGCCACCAATCTGACCAACCCATTGTTTCCAGCAAACGAGTCACAGCCGCTCCAGGTGATCAGATGCCAGTCTTTCACAGCTGGCCCCGTCTATGAATTCTACCAAGTGCGGGCACCCGGCAATCTGAGCTGCGAGTATCCTCCGCCTCTGCTGACCGCCGCTGTAGCAGTCATGTGTATCGGCTGTGTCGGCCTGATTTGGGAAGGCCTCCATCGCCTTGGGTACTCGCATGATCCTCTGGAAGACATCAGAAAGCAACGCGCTCTTGAGAAGCTCCAGCCTCAGCAAATTCTCGCTTCAGAGGATCTATCACTGCGGAATGACATCGCTAAGATTTCGGCATTTGTGCGGAAAGCTTCATTTGTGGAAGCTAGCCTGTTCGTCACAGCGGTAGTCATCGTCCTAGTGTTCACTTCCTTCGTGGCTTCAGCTGCGATGGAGGAGTTTGTTCCAGCGACCAAGATTGCGCCTCAGGGACCGGTGGGCCTTCCGCAACCCTCCCAAGGGCTGAATCAGTACTTAGAAGAACGGAGTGCGGGCTTCAGACTGGAGCTGTGCGCGAATGCTAACATGAGCTTCTATGTGGGCTTCCCCGATAGCTGCACACGGCTGGGGGATCCATACGGTGGCCGAATGAAACCTGTCTTCAATGATGAATCGGAGTGGCTCTTACCCGTGCAAATCTCCATGATCGTCACAGGAGGCTTGATATTCGTCCTCCTCTCTTTTGGTCTTATCTGGGCGCTGGTTCGTTTTTTAGATTCGATGTGCACCTTGTCTGGCCACCAGACTTCCGAAGGGGCCATATCTACGTCTTGTGCAACTCAGGGCGAAGGAACTCAGGAGTCTAAGAGCAGACGTAGGAAACTCTATGTGGCACACAACACAGAGTATCGGCCGTGAGAGATCAGTCTCCACATTGCCTCTGCATACTCGTCTGAGTAACTAGGAAGGAGAATAACAGAGCTTTGCACATTACGCCCACGTATTCCACGGTTTCGTATCACCTTTTGACGGCAACATTCTCTTGCAAAGGCAGTGCCTCTACTTTGCGCAAGCTTGCTAGCATAACGCTAGCTACTGTAGGTCAATCAGGCCATCTACACGCGTTTCTTCATACGGCGTCACCATGGTCATATAGGCCACATGATGCCACTGCTCGTTCTGACCGTCAGCAGTGGCCACTCGCGCCGAGCTGCAGGTGCATCACCGTCATGTGCAGATCACACCATTCCCTACTAAGCAATATTGCTTCCTTTCGGTCTGCACCCAGTCATCTGAGTGCCTTCTGGATGTCCGGCCAAATTCCGCCCCATTTTCGCATCATTCCGTCGAACCCTCTTCAAGAGCGGAACAGAACTCTGAGCTCGCGTGCTGCTGCCAACATTGTGCTGTCGATGTGCGTCTTTGTCAGTGCGCTTCTTTGAGGACGACAAAGGGTTGGTTTTTCTTCTGCAAAAGCCCTGGCAAGGGTTTCCTGATATTGCGAAGTCCCTAAGCAAAAGTGACCCTGATGATCAACGGATCACGTACTCCGTTAGGCTTGAAGACTGTCGCCGCATGAAACCGCTGTGCACTTCTAATTATATGCCGCGTGTCGACAGCACATGAACACAAATTGCCGTGTCTTATGCTTAAAGCTCGCGGCCAGATCGAACTAAATGCATGGAGCGCGGTGTACGTGCACATCGATCACTGGCCCAACCGTCGCCTGCGCAAAGATCCGCGTTCATGAGCTACACCGACTGGCAAGGTTCGATCAATACTCATTGTTGGTCATGATCAAGTCCGAGGTGATTGGGCCCCACTGGCAATATATAGCAATTTAAGTCGGGTCTTTTCCACATGGCTGCCCGCAGCATGTTGCGGTGCGCAGAAGGTCGCTTACAGCGGAGTGACATGCAGGCCATCGAATACATTGCATGCATGGTGCCACATCGTTTCATTCACTCTTGAAAGCCATTTACGTACATAGTTGCATACCACATTCCATCATGACAGCAATTCTACGATAATTGCTATCCAATGATCGATCAGCACCCTTACAGGCGATTTCCCACCCGCTCCCCGCGCGGGGGCTTGGCCACTGCGGACTTGGCAAACTCAGTTTCTTCGACCAGCTAAGCACTGCAGCAGGGCGTACCTCTGAGTTGAGAGCTTACCGAGTGTCGTTGTGCTTAGAGAGTTACCCGGCTTTGGGTTGGAGCGGTCGTCATAATGAGCTGATGGCCCTTCTTAAGTTTTGTCGAATGCGACATAGTGAGGTGATTGCGGGCACTTGAGCGGCCCGGATGCCAACGTCATACCAGGCTTGCAACAGCATCGAAACTTTGAACACTGGAGAGGGTCGACCTGCATCCCTTTCTGTTTCTGACGTCGGAAGTTTCAGAGCATATACACAGCTTGAATGCATGAAAAGCGAGATATCCACCCACGGTCTAGAGTCCCCATTCTGTACAAGCTGTTTCAAGTGCCTGCAATTGACGACCGGGCGCTTCTCCCTTGCGTCGAGTCGTCAGCCAAAGCCTGCCAGAAGCTTGCGGCTTTCTCGTTGTATGCTACCTGCAAATGGTAAAAGACGGCATTCTACTCCAAGCAGCTCCCTGATCGGGTCGTCCCGAGCGACTCAGAAAGTGACATGCAAAAGCTTCTGAATCAAGTGCGTATCTCTCCTGTGCGTCTAATCAACTAACAGGCCCGATCAACACACCCGTTTTGACGAGGTCACAGTTTGACGAAGACCCGGGCATGGACTGCTTTCAAAGAACCCACTTGCGGACACGACCACCGTGTTCACAAGGCTGTCGAGTGCACGTGAAGAGTCAAGTGGAGAGGATGCGCAATCAGGCATCTCGTTTGGGTCTCTTACTTGGGTTCGTACAAAGCCGGCCAGCATTTGGTGGAAGTCTGCGTGCCGTTCCCGGTCAAACCGCTCGATTTCTTCCCGGTTCCGTTCCTGAAGGAAGCACACAACAGTGAGCGTGAGTCCCCTAGTTGTCCAATAAACATTTTCTTGCGAACAAAGATAAGCAAGACTCTATTGGCAAAAATATCGAGTGTATGGTACTTGGTAGCACAACGGTCGCAGCGATGATCGAGACTAATGCGGAATGTCAACGAGGCCTCAGCTTTCTGAACGACCGCTGCCCACAGAGGTGCCGGGTCATGATGCGGTGTGCCGGAGTGACGTTACGTACGGGCCAACGCTTTCTTTACGAGTGTAACCATCGACGGCATTTGATCGACACAAGCAGCTTAGGGATTCTTTGCCATACCGGGTGTCCGAATGACGTGCCCTTCGCAACCGCTCGAAGGACACTCTTCGCAACTGCTCAAAAGAAATCCACGTCATCGCCGGTGGTCCTGCAGAAAGATGCCAGCCTACCTTGATCTTTTCGTACTCCTGCTTCGCCGCCAACAACGCCTCGTCCGTCGCGGCGACTTCGCGGTTCAGATCCGCTATCTTTCGCGTCCGGGACGTGTCGCCGCCGAATATCTGCTCATTGAATAAGGAGTTGGATGAGACAGTGGTAACGAAAACATTGGAGGAAATGACGGCCGGGAGGCTCAAGAGCTCGCATCGAGGGAACTAAGGGAACCATCGGAAGACGACTTGTTAAGTGACGACCCTTTTGGAACGCTAAAACCATTGGAACTTTGTGGGCCATCCGTTGTAATTTCAAGGTAGGCTTCACCTTGAACAACAAAGCACGTTGAAACGTCAAGATTCAACCTACTAGTCCTCGGCAATGCGATACACAAGCGAGCCATAAATCAAACGAACTCCCGTGCGGTTTCAATGCTCAGCGCGAGGATATCAACAAAGTCCCGCAACTTGAAGTCTTCTATCGGTAAATGAACCCGAACTTGGAAAAGTTGCGACCAGAGCTGCCGAGGACTGAGGAACACGAGTCAGAATAACCTCCAATTTGAAGAAAGCGCTGCTGTATTTTGCACCGACCTTCGACGATTGCGCCTCGAGCTTTTCGATCTTGCTCTTCTTGGTGGCCAGGTCGTTGGTGAGCGTCTGGACGGTGACGAGGGCGTTGTTGCGGTCCGCCATGGCCGCGTGAATGGCGGCCATCAGACCCAGATACTCGTGCAGCTGCCCCTGCATAGTTGCAAAGAGAAACGAGTAAGCGAGATATTGCGGGCTGCATTCACTTGATAAGGCGGGTTCCAGAACCGCATCATTAGGGCTTTCTAAGCCCAGATACCCATGCAGCTGTCCCTGTAGAATTGATCGGCGAGTTTTTGAGAGAGTGATGTTAAGACAGAAAGTGAAGGAGAGGCGATGCGGGTTCCACAGTGCGATATAGGACGGAGTTGTGGGCATTCACGCCTTAGAAACTCGTGGAGCTGACACAAGTGGTGAAAAATCATGAGGGGAGTTGGCACGTAAAAGGGAGCCTATGCGAGTTCCAAAACTGAGGTGCGATTGAAGTTGTGGGCATCCAGGTCCAAGTACTCGTGCAGCTGTCCCTGTGGGAACGAATATTGAGAGCGTATGAAAGACAAGTTGCAGAATGGGACGTGAAGGAGAGGCCTTGCGGGTTCCTGAATGGGCATCCAGATCAAGGTTGTGGGCGTTCCAGGCCCAAACACTCTTGTAGATAACCCTGTCCAGAAGCAACGCAAGAGTGCAGGGTGCAAATACGGCTCTTTCTTCCGTCTTCAAAATTGCGGGCTCCTTAAACTGAGTACTCCAAAGAAGCCGTCCCAAAACTTCGCATCCTCTGGCTAACACTCGACTCAGTCAATCGTCACGGCAGAACGGCTCCATAGCAAACGCAAGGGACCTACACGTGATTGCAAGTTCCTATATTGAACGGTTGTAAGTCGTAGGCACTTGAGCTGCTCACGACTATGGGCTCCAGGACGCACGGAGGGAGATCGAGGGTAAGGCAGATAGCGTGCAACTGATGTTGGACTTCAGTGGGGTATTCTGGGACTGACACAAACTGCGGTCGGGGATCAGTTGTCCTGCTCACCAGTTGGTTGACGGTCTGTGCGGTGGCTGTTCGACACAGCCGGCTCGTCCGGATCGCCGCGTGTCCTAATCTGCGAGACTCCACCGCATGCACCTTCTGCTGTTGGCTCGTGCCTGCACGAACAGGCCTCAAGCATGCTCAAGTCTCTTCTTTGTACTGCCGTTGGCTTTCAAATTGAGGCGCCCAACAATTCCTTTGACCTGTCCCCTTGCAACAGTCATACAAAGTCTGCCTTTCTCCGCTGACTAAACCCGTGCAACCTCCTGAGGATCAAAAGCAAGTTATTTTCCAATCCAAACAGGTACTTCTACGTCTCTTTTATGAAACGAAGGTCTTTCCACATCGTAGGAGATGTGGAAAGACCTCTTTTAATCTTGAAGACGGCTGCCAGCGAGCTCAGAACATGGATAATGAGCGCAGACTTGGCAAACTGGCACAATCTTCACAAGCGACCTCCACAAGAACGTCCCCCACGTGAGCCCTGGTCAAGCGCAACATTCATTTCAGTGCAAGATGGCCCCCGGGGCGGCTCACCGGGCTCCTCCTCGAACTTCGCGATCTTGACAAAGGCCAGGCCCAGCTCCCCAGTAACCTCCCCCAGTTCTTGCTGCGCCTTAGTCAGAGCCTCCGCCTGCAGAAACAAGCGTACAAATCATGATGTTGGTTGCAACCTCTTTCGCCAAAAACTTGGAACATTTTCCGTCCAAATTGACCGGCTGATGACTTTGATCTGATTCAAGGGACTGGCAGATGCCAAGAATTTCTAATGACATATGAGAGTTACTCCTCAACCAAGAGCGACAGCCAACTCAGGAGAGCAATCTTTCAGAGTCTCAGGAAACGGGCTCAAAAGAGCAGGTTTTAGAACGAAGAAATGTGCATTCGCCCAAGCGTTTAGCGGAGGGTATGACGACAGCGCAGAAAAAGCTAGTTGAGAGGAGCTTGCCTTGGCTGACGCGTCCAGCAGCTGCTTTTCCAGGTCGAGCTCCTTTTCTTTCCGGTCCAGGTACGCTTTGTCCTCCTCCGCAATGGGCGGCTTCGACGACCCCTGCAGTTAGACAAATCCATGAAAGGGCGAAAAAAGCAGTGTGATAATTCGCGCCCAAGTCATTGTTAAGCATCCCACCAGCCATTGCAAAGTGACGCTTGAACGACGGGAAAAGTAGCAGCGATAGCTGCTGCGCAGGCTTCTGAAAACCCGAGCACGCAGCGTCAAACAGGTCCTGGTTAAGTTCTCCAGTCGGCTGAATCCGGTTCGCTTTTATCTGGCATGTGCAAGGAGCCTGAACATTGATTGACGAAGAGCAGCTTAAGGGTTCCCGGCTTCCTTATAACCAAGCACGACATTCCTCACGCCGGAGCGGCTCCACAGATGACAAGCCTGGCAGAGCGTTGCGTCAGCAGATGCGAATCCGGGAAAAAGCGAATCAACTTCTCGGCAATGTAACAAGTAAGTAACTAAGTAGACAGAAGTCTGACGGAAAGCCAGGCTAAAAGGAAGCGCACTTCTGGTGGACGTCGCTGCGACGAGCTGCTCAACAATAACACCCTGGTAATTGCTCCGAGGTCAAACTGCAGTCACACCTTGGAACTCAGCTTTGGACACTTTCTGACCGACAGGCGCTCAAAGTGCCCTTCACAATCTCCACGCCTTATCGCATTCTAGCTTTTAAAAAGGAAACATGCAAGGGAGAGGGGCCTCGACAACGCACCCAGTCGTTCTGCACGGTCTGCTTGAGCTCCTTGAAGATTCGCACCAGGTCCCGGCCTCCTTTCGCTGGCTGCACAAAGCAAAGGCAATCGTTCAGTCCTGACAGCTTTGTGCCTTACCTAGTTCTCAGATGCAGGATTCAGCGGACCCTAACAATCGATTGGGCGGTGCATCGTCGGTAGAAGCTGATTACGGGCCCGTTCCAGCTTCGAGCGAACGGAACACGGATGAAACTAAGCAGAAGAGGCGCCCGTCGAACGGACTAAGGAAACGCAAGCAAAACCTGTCACCGACTTGAAGCCGGCCAAAGGGATAACAGCTACCAGAACGCGCCTGGGATTTATTTCGTGACAACCCAATAATCGTAGGGCAGATCGCACTTGGGGACTAGTTGTACGAAAAGCCATTTGCTTAGCGTGGCTTACTTGTGCGGCCTCCTGCGGTGGGGGAGTCGTCTGCTCGCTGCCGAAGAGTTGCCGCGGGAGCTTGACTGCACCGTCCAGCATGCGCGAGGCTGCACAAGCAAAAAAGCCAGCTTCTAGTATTGCAGATAGAGAGCAAAAGGTTTCCAAGGTGAGGCTTTGCAGTGAAGATTCTTGGTTTGAGCGACCTTTTTTCTTATCCCGCCAGAGATGGATCCCTCCGCTTGTGTACAAAACTGAGAGCGCGCTAGCCTTTCCGCTCTTACAACTTTGCGGCACTCGAATGACGCAAAGATACAGTTGTGCTGCGTTGAAAGAACGCCTTCATTCGGAATCGCGGAAGTTCGAACGCGTCACCAGGCAGAGAAAGCGGCCGCCCCCGCTGTCAAAATTGGCCTTCCAATCATTTTATTCGAAGACGTGCCTAACGTGTGCACGTAGTATCGAAAAATCTTGAATGCATGCGGGGCTGAGAGAAGTCACCTAGGTCGGTCGTGGGTTGTAGTGGAAGCCTGCCCTCGGTTTCCAGAAAGACTTTCAGGTCCGTGCTGCAAGCAGATGCGAGTAATGTCGACGAAAGGAAAGGGAGAACCTAAATTCAGGAAGGAAAGGGACCGGATACAGCCAGGCACGGGGTTCCTACAATTTCCCAGACAGTGGTGTGTCCTGAAGACCGAAGCATATAAGTTCGGGAGGTCTTCGAGTAATCACCTGCAAAGACTGATCAAGCACGAGTCCCGACAAATCTGCTTCGAGTAAGGTGAATGGGCTGCCAAACATCTGTTGTCGTCATTAAGCTCTGTATCCTCACAACGCAAAATTGCTCAAGCAGGAGTTCCCATAGACTTGCTTCAAGCGAAGGGAAAGCCCCGCAACTCCTGTCCCTCATCGTACGATTACTTCTCCGTTAACTATCCTCGAAAGTAAAAGCCTCAGGGTTCACCTGTTGCGGAGGACCGGATGCGCCGCCAGCCTCTTGAGGTACTTGTCAAGGGCCATCTTGCGCATCTCCACAAAGTCCTTTTGCTGCATCACCTGCAGTGATCCAGAAACAAGCGCTGTCAAACATTGTAGCTCTCCGGTTCTCGGGTCACGCTTGAACTGGTCGCACATGGGCGCTGCAATATCTCGCGGCGGTGGCTTGTCAAAGGAGCTCGGTGGCAAAGGCGGTGTGGTTAGAAGCGAAGGACCGATGGGGCCAGAAGTGATGAGGCTGGGAAGAGAGTAGCGACTATGCAAAGATGTGACAAGCTCCAAAGAAAACGGGTGACCACGCTGACAGTTTCCGGCGTGAATGCGAGAGCCCAATCTAGTGAACAAAGCTTCGAATCATGCCGACGTAAGCTTCGTAGATTCGAGATGGATGCCAGGGTCGCTGCTCGGAAGACTGGCTTTCTATTCACTTTAGAGGTTTAACTCAAATTCAGAAATCGTTCAAGAGCATTTGCCAAAACCCCCGCTCAGTCCTGCATAGCTCTTTTTAGGACACAATAGAAAGATGGGGTTCCAGAGCTCCGTTATAAACACACGTGCATGACTACAGCTCCTTTCGACCAGGTTGCAAAAGGAACCAAGAATTTTTCTTGAATCCGGATCCACGGGCGGGGATTTTCAAGAAAGTAGAAAGGCCCTGTCAAAACCTTTGTTGACTTGGTTCGGGCTAAATTACCCGCAGTTCGGTGAGCAAATTTCCTTGGCGACCTCATGTCCCGCCCGGCTTTCAGAAATGTATCACGCAAGTTCTTACAAGTCTTGAATTATTTCCTTTGGTTCTGTTCGCAACCTGGTCGAAAGAAGCTGTAAAAAGCAGCCCTAGGAAAGGGTGCCGTGGCAGGAACCTGGGGCCAGGGGGAGAGGAATGCGACCTGTCCTTCCACCACGGCCTTGTCGGGGCGCGGGGGAATGAAGTACCCGCGGTAACTCTCTGCCAGCCTGCACGGGGGAGGTTCACATGATCACGATCACGATCGAGTTCGGGGGAAATGAGGACGCCGTATGGAACCGCAAGTCAGACGGTGAATGCCAGGAAATGAAAAGGACGGGAGGAGATGAACAAAGTGAGACGATATTGGCGTGGTCACCTTTCTAGCCTGACGGAGGCGGGTGACATGATGAACAAAATGAAGAGTAACCGTGGAGGACGATTGGCCGAACAACTTCTGATCCTCGAGCGCTGCATGAGCTGAAGCTGTCAGCAGACGAATGCTGACCCGAGTACCCGGGTACCCGAATAGGTCGTTCCGACTCTCCGATTTTAAGTGACTCACCGAGTTTAAAGTGACTAACCTGTCAGCCAGGACCACGAAATCTTTGAACCGCCGCCGGACCGCGAACTCTGACGCCTTGTACCCCGGCAGGTTCGTTTTTGTAGTGACCTGCACTCGGAGCAACGTCTAATAAGTCGACCGGAGGCTGTGCTTTCAGCGGAATTGTACCAGCTTTTGATGACACTTCCGTGTGAGTGTCTGAGCGGGGCAGCCCGTCGCCCGAACATAACCTTTTGCGTTGTCATCTGTTCTTTGCTGCATACAGCTGGTTGTGGCCCTGGTAGAAAAAGCTGATCTATGTAAAGGTTGCTAGAAAAGCCTGACATCGCACTCCCCCCTTGAAAGCTGTAGACAAAGCCGACACGCCCACAAGCATCTTGCAGACTTTCAGGCGAAATTCAAAACCTTGTCCGATTCAAATAGAAAGACAGCTTCTGAATCCCCGGCACACAATACATGTAAGCAGACAACGAAAACTGGTCTCTGATAGAGTTTCGGCTTTGTCAAAATCATCAGAACCCCCTTGGTTTGTTGCTGATGTCAGATGCCTTCGGAGAGGTTCAATCCATCCAAGAACGTGCAGTCAGAAGTGGTCGGGATGAAAATCCTAAGACAAAGAACAAGGCTGAAGCAATCACAGACCAAAACACAGACATAGAAGGGAAATCCAAGCGAGGCTGAAGCTATCTTACGGTCTAAATCTGAGTACAGACGAGTGATAGAAACGAGTCTGGAGCTATGAAAGATCGAAGCCTGGATACAGCCGAGCAGATTACAAATCCTGGACGGTTCTTCAAAACGGGGGGACTCTGAAACGTAAACAAGGAGCCTTTTGGAATCAATCACCCACCTTGTAAGAGACGTACGTCCCGCTCCCCGGCACGAGGCTGGAGCCCGCGCTCTCGATGATCTTCTGAGGGTCCGTTACGGAGATGTTAAGGACGAGCTGGTTCGGACGCGACGTGGACGGCTGCGCTTCGGACGGGCTCGGACCGTTCGTGGCGGCAGTGATCTCGGTGTCGCTGCTGGAGCCCATGTAGGGGGGGGCAAAGATGGCGTCCGCGTACGAGGGCGGTTCCACGAGCTGGGAGAGATGCGGGTTTCCGACTTAGCGTAAAAAGTGAGAAGCAGTAGTAATTTGAAGGAGAGACGCATGACAGAGAGACTTTCTGAAACGCCGATTATCAAGGTCTGACTGCAAATGAGGCAGCTTCGATCCAGTGCGGATCCGATATTCTCTAAAGGAAAAGGAATCAAGAGATTAGGAAGCAGGCTCCCTCAATGAAAGCAAGTTGTGCTTTCCTTTAGTCTAGGAGCACAGCATTCCTTATCTGCTTTTAGTAGCAGAAGAAGTACCGAGGAACGCGAGAGAGGTTTTAGACATGCTGTGTAAGCACGGGAGTGATGCAGATGGTGGCTGTACTGAAGCTAATTGGTTATCTATGACCAGGGTGTGTTCTATGAGGATCAGGAGTTTGTATGGCAACGCCGTGTGACAACTTGACTTCTTTGGGTTTGAAAGAATGGATAAGGTGTGAACAGAGATCTTCAGGCTTTTCGAACCAGAGAAGCTGCATTTAGTGGATGTTGACGCCTCTCTCAAAACTTCTCAGAAGAAGGTTAACCGCCAATTCTCTTGATTAGAGCGCCATTGTGCCCTACTGTGACTCCAAACGTTGAGAACAAACTTGACGATACGACACATTGGCAACTCAAATAAAGGTGAAGGGGGCAACACATCCACGATTGTGACACATCTAGCGCATGGAACCAACGTTCACCACATCCCAAGTTTCAGTTTTTCGATACTTGAAAGATATGCAGTAACTAAAGAAACCAGAAAGGAAAGTCTGCCTAAAAGTGAGGGTCTTCTTATCAGAGTCTCAAGCTTTCTATCTGCTTGAATTCCAGAAGATGATAAATGAGAGTGCGGTTTCCAAGTGTGCACTTCTTAGGCATTGGACTTGTCAACCAAGGTTGTGCTAGCTGCTCCTAAGTGCAAGCGGTGACCAATAGAGCATCGCACATTGTGAGCGGCAGCATTTTCTCAGACACCCGAATTTATTGTGCGAGGAGTCCCCCTTGTGAAAAGTCCGCCACTTTGTTCCAAACGAACTGCCTAGGAACCAACCGTGAACTTCCTTCACGATCCAAAAGTGCCGCCAAGAATAGAGGATGTCACATACTTTCCTTTGATTCCTGGCGGCACTTGCAATCAACGCTGACAGCTCACAACAATCACGACCTTTAAACTGGAAGAATGGATCCTTACGTCTTCCTCTCCCGCAAAGCCCGTCAGTGCCGACTGTGCCAAGGAGGAAGAGAGAGGGTCTGCTGCATGGAGGACCGATTTGCCCAGGTTTCGGCCACCTGCGTCGTCTGCCTGATCAAGAACGACGCTGTCCATCTGATCGCTCATATAGGACCGAGACCCCTGGCCCTCACTCCCTGCCATTCTTGCTTCTGGTCCTCTATCTGCCGTAAGCACTTGGCAGCTCTTCAAAGCTTGTCCAGCGAAAACACACAGGAAAGGTGCAGCAGGACAGCGCCAATAGAAGGACAATTGAAGAACAGCTTTCTTACAGACTTCAGTCTTCATAATTATATTCAATTGCCCAAATTTGCCAAAACCTGCAGGCCGCGCGGCGGCCCACCCGCGACAGCGCGCGGCCGCCGCGCGAGCCGGATGCCCATGAGCCTAGCTGTTCGATCACGTTCATGCGGAAGGCTGAGGCGCGGCCAGCATGTCACGTGGCTGAGCTCTCCGTATACGTTGCAAACCTTCGGCAGATTGTAGAAAATAGTAGCCGGCCTCCACTCTTCTACTCGTACGTTCACCTGTGAATTACTTATAAAAGACAATCACCTCACGCAGCTGAATATGGCCATGCCTATTAAACGTACATGCAGCTCGTCATGAAGCTAGTGCGCTGAAACCTGAGCGCGTGATACGTTAACTCTCCGAGCGGGCAAAGTTCTGATCGTCTGGCAGCTTCATCACGAAAGGCAACAACGTGCTTCGCTTGCTGGGTACTATTTAACTGTGCCCAATACAATCGCTTCAAAAGTAGCTCTCTTTGTTGTCCTACACAAGCGTGCATCGAATATTTTTTACCCTGCGAGGGTAAAGTGCGGCCTTGACTCTTGTCTTGTTGATCATTCAATGATTGCTCAAAAACGAGCGGCAAATCTCCAACATGGTGTCGGCACTCTCCACTCTGACTTCAATTTCAGAATTAGTATAGATTCGTCATAAGCTTCATTCTAAATCAAGCAATCAATGTCACATCAGGGTGCATCGCACTTTTGTTAGGTCACTAAGATTGTTTTTGGGTCTTGATCGGCTATCATTGGTCGAGTCAGCTTCCAAAGACGCTTGGTGTTCTCGTATCTGCATGGTGGGTTGCTTTACAACGGCTCTGGTTACAACTCTTCCTTATCTTTCCGCAACGCATCGCACTCCGCCCTCACCGTCCTCAAAGCCTCCGCTCGCGCGGCAACCAGCGACAAGAACTCGAAACCAACTTGAGCGGCGGCATGGGCCGTTATCTGACCATGATCCAAAGCAGGTAACACCTCCACCACATCCCCCCCAACCCAATTGATATCTCTCAGTGCCCGGAGGTAACCCAGGCCTACTTGCGTGGACGGCCCGCCGACTTCGGGCGTGCCCGTTCCTGGGGCATATGCCGGGTCGAAAAAATCGACGTCGAACGAGAGGAAGGCAGGGCTCGCGCCCACGATCCGCCGGACCGCCGCGCCGAGCACGAGCGGTTTGAGGGAGGCGAGGTCGGAAGTGGTGAGGACGTTGAAGCCCAAGTCGGTGGCGTCCTTTCGGTCCTGCAATCGCAAACAGCAAGCCTGAAACCGGAGATCGTATTCTCACCTCTGTCCCAAGAGGTCAACTTGACTGAATGTAATCTGAACTCGAAATCGCCTTCGTTCAGAACCAGACAAGCCTGGAAAAGGGCTTTGTTCTCAAGTGTAAGTGACCGCGGCTCGACGTATCAAGATCTTGTGACAAGTGACATATTTACACTTTTGCAGCAAAGTCCAAGCCCGTCTATATTCCAGCACTTTTGTGAGGCCGTTCATTCATTGCAACAAGTGCTCAGAGGCGGACGATGATTAGATATTAGACTGTACTTTCGAAGAGGAGACGGAAGGACGTCAGTCCGCACAGCTCCACGCGAAGACACAGATAGCACGTTTTCTCAAACTCGGAAAGAAGGACGGCAGCTCAGGCAGCACTTCTAACGGGGACGTTCGAACGCTCGATTAGTGAAAGTAGCGAGTCACCGTTGCTGAGTAAAGCGGTCCCCGCATCCCAATCTGGATCGACTTGCTGGGGAGCAAGAGGCCCTCCTCAACGGCACGCCGAAAGGGCGTCCCGTGGTTGTACTTCTTGCCGAAGTAGCTGTCCCACACGTCGCTGTGCGAGTCGAAGTGGACCTGCGGAAATACATTCAGCCGTTCACATCAACAATTAGGGATACTCATCAAAGAGAATCGTTGTAAGCTTTGTAAACGTGCTGTGTGAGTGGAAGCAGACCTGCAGAACAGAGCAGGCTCTCATGTATGGCAAAAAGGGGAATCGATCGAAGAGGACTGGTTTCCAGAAGCTGACAGAGGAAAAGTGCGACCTGTCAGGATCAGCAGAGGACGTGGCCAGTGTCAGATCGTTCAATTCGAGGGTGCTCGAGCGGACGCAAATAGCCATCATATACTGGTATTTCAGAGAGCTAGGAGAACCGAGAGCCAAAAGGTTTCCTAACGGGCACCTTCACCAAGTGCAGGTTTGTGCTACTTCACTAAGTGCAAGGTTTGTGTATCAAGGACAAAGGTAAGAGTGGCTCGCAGCGCACGAACCGTCCGGTTGACATTCAAATGTTCAACCCGCGATGCCAGAAGTCACAAACAACAAACTGAGCCCTTGCTCCTGCTCGTCTCCGCGCTTTGCCTTGACAGACATCTGCAGAGACTACTGACAGCTTCCCAGAAGATCGCACCACCTCACCAGCGACATCGGCCCGTGCACTTTTGCCAGCGCCCGCAGCTCCCCCAGCGTAACAGAATGGTCGCCCCCAAAGCCGAGCGTTACCACCCCCGCTTCCGCCAGCTCTGTGATGTCCTTTTCCATCGCCGCATAGCTTGCCTGGATGTAACCAGGGACGACAGACACGTCGCCGAAGTCGACACAGGAAAGGGCGCCGAAAACGGTGACGTTGACATCGGGGTTGTAGGGACGGAGCAGGTGGGAGGCGCTGCGAACGGATTCGGGGCCGTAGCGCTGGCCTATCCTGGAGGGATCGATTGGAGGTCGTGTCAGAAGTGAGATGAGGACATAGGACCAAAATTGGGTGGTCTGAATGTTGGACTTAATGGCCAGTTGGACTTTCTGGCAGACTGCAATTGGATGCTGACTTTAAGCCAAAGAAAGGAAGTTCGTAAAAGTACTCCAGCTCTTGCAATTCGGGAGAGGCAACGGATTATGTGCTGGAAGCCAGGTCGTAAGTTTGACGAACATTCCAGGAAGCTGCCCCAAGACCAATTGATCTGTGACGGGAAGATGACGTTACTCAGCAAGGTCTCATCTCGAAATCTCAGTAAAGACTGTTGATGCCTCGCATTTGTGTGAAGTGCTTCACTTGTCAAGGTCTCATTAAGTGAGCAGACTATAGCAGATACTCAGCGACAGCAGGCTCGCTCACTTACTTGAAGCTGGCACCGGTATCAAAGGGGATGCCAAAGACTGCGACGTCCACCCCCTCCATGGAGGTGACATGGGGCAGGCGGGCATACGTCCTTACTCCAGAGAAGCGGGGAGATGCCAGGGAGTCTGTTGGCTGTACTAACAAAGACGAGAAACTTCATTGAAAACGAGAAACTTCATTCAGGTACTTCAAAGTGTCTTGACATCTGTTCGTATGTGGCCACAGGGCTTTCTATCAGGAGTCAAACAGCTGGGTAAGGGACATTTGATTCCCCATCAGATAGTCCTTTTTGGCCTTAAAGTGTCCACAATCGATCAGTTCTAAAGCGTCTGTGGTTCTCTGGTCAATCAAGCCGAACCTTATGCAAGGGAAGTCTGGTTGGTGCACCATGACATCACGGTGATTGCGCAGTGTGTACGTTGAACAGCTGGCCGTTTGAATAGAACTGAGTACAATGACAGGAGTCAGACAAAGTCCTCTAGCAATGAAACCTCTTATTTGCTTCATAAGGTACATATAATTCCAATCCGCTCTTACAGAAAGAGCTCTCTCCTCTTTTTGATTGTCCTTCGAGTCAAGGCATTAGACCAATCGTTTGTAACTAACAGAGTGGCAGGAGCGATGGAGAGAAGCCACCCACCTGATAGAACGGTGTACTCTCATCGTCTATCGACAAGCGCCTTCCGTACGCATTGATTGCAACAGCCTGAGTCTCTTGGGCCTTGCACTGATCACCACTGACAGCCGCAGCCGCAATGTGGCACACGGAGAGAAGCGCCGCTACTAATGTGAACCCCACAATGTGGCTGCGCAAAGTGGTCATCATAGCAACACCAGGTTTGGAGCAAAGTTGACCCAAGTAGGAGATCAGCTCAAGCATGGATCGAGGCAACAGAGTTTTATCAATTGTCAACGTTTTGGACCGCCATATCTGTATGAAGAAAAGGATACGTAGACAAAGCCCATGCCGCTGAAAGCAATGCTGTTTACCTGCAATGTTACTAACCTCGTTTCAAGCTTACTAAACAGGTGAGCGGTCTTGCGCCTCTAGCTGCACCCTCTACAGCTTTTCAACGAGCTGTTTACACCTTTGGAGTTGCCAGAGTTGTGAATGTGCAGCCATCTCTGTGTGCAAAACAGAAAATTCTGAAAAAGCAACCAAACTTTTGGAAGGTTTGCCACTTGTGATTTAGGGTTCTCGACTAGTAGGGTTTAGGGTTTGTGCCTCCTGAAGCTCGTGAAGCAGACGCCTGGCATTGGCATTCTCTTTGCTTGTGCTTCGCTGCCCTTGGCTGCGATCCCTTTGGGCCCCGCAAAAGCAACTGCATGGTTGCAGCTCTGCTTGAGCCACGGATTGTTGACTGCTCAACCCTCAGCGGATTGGCCGAGGCGCACAACAGAAAGTAAAATGTGCGCATTCCCGTAGGCAGACATGGACAGGACATCTGCAAGAGCTCGGCTTGAGGAGGCCCTGTCCTCCGCCGACCTGTGCAGTAAGGACAGTGTGCGCCGGCTGGTCAACAAGGCCTTTCTACATTCACCAGATGGGGAGCAATTGGGGTCCGATGGGGGGGTCTTGAACAGCCGCTTTGAGGAGGTATGGAGGTTCCTCTCGGAGCTGCGGGGCGTGAGCGGCGAGCTGGCAAAAGAGAGCGCAGTGGTGGACGACATTGATGGGAGGGGTTGGAAAGTGAGGGAGCAAGAACCTGACTTTTCCTCAAAGAAGTCCTTGCAGCTTCTTAAGGCAACACGCCCGGCTGCTTCAACAGTTCTCATCCTGACGAGCAACCAATCGTGCATTTCGTTTGCAAGTCCAGCTGTATGCCAATCTGAAATGGTCAGGTGTGTACGAACGATATGGGGGTTCACGGAGTTCACTCCGGAATGTTGAACATTTAAAAGAGTCCTCGCCCCCCTCTTTGGACGCCTCTGCAGCCATATTGACTTCAATTTTCCAGAGTGGTTGTGCAGAAAAACCAAGTGCTGAATGGTCAAAGGACTGCTCAAATGGGGATCCACTTTTGCAGGTCAAGGAGGATACTGGCAACATGCGTGTGCTGTATCGGAAGGGTCCGGAGGGGACTCCGCTACACACCCTGTGTCTCGAGGGCATGATCAACGGGCCACTTGCGACAGGTACAATTAGGAATGCTGTTCCATCCTTTATGAGTGCGCTTGCACAGAGCAATTAGAGTGTTTTAGTCCCTCGGGCCAACCTTGATAGAGTTCAGTACATGCATGTTCTCAAAGAAACTGGCTTTGACTGGACTTATGCGTCCCAATGAGATCAGCAAAAATAAAACTGCGCAATATGCTCGGCACATGCGGTTTCTGACAATTGATTGATTGCTTCATCCGCCAAGACATGATACATGCACCCTGCCTTCGCGCCTCTTCTTGACAGTTGAGTTTGAGAAGCCCAGCCCTCAAATGCAACTCCTGCTTGCTTTGCAGCCCTGTCAGTGGCGTATGGTGTGCCTTACTACAGGGAGTGGTTCCCTAAGGTGTGTACTGATACTTTACTTGACTGTCAACTGCAGCGCTGTGTGTTGCTTGGGAGGCCCCCTACTTTAAGGACTGGTGGCCGCAGGTGCGTTGCATAAACTGGTTGACAGTCCTTCTTCAATTGGAAGACTGAGATACGAATGCTTCAGTGGCCGTCCTCTTGAGTTCTTCCCTTACATAACGGTTGTCTTCCACACAACATTCTAGAATGGAACTTGAGAGGAAGATTTGGTGTCACTACGTTCGGCCCAGAGAGTCGACGTAGAAGCCTGCTCAACAGACGAAATTATGTTAAGCTTACGACCTCTTTTGACATTGACACCCAGCTTGTCTTGTACGCAGCGACCATCAAGACGGTTCACGTTTTCGTTCGACCTCGTGCCTCCATGTATCTCAACTTTCACAAGAGCGGCAAACCGCACATTATGAGCCCGAAGTATTCAAGCAACAGACATAATGACGCAAACACGAACCATATTGCACTTTGCTTGCAGTTCACAGTCCCGACGTTCAAAATCTCCGAGTCGAAGTGGCTCGAGCAGCCAAAGCCAGGACAGGTTATTGCGTCTGTCAGGTGAGTTTCAAGTTTACAGCGCTCGTCCCATTTGTTACTGTTTTGTGCCGTCTCGAGATGCCAATGTTTACAGGGCTTTCTGTCAGAGGGAGCCCATTATAGTCTTTGTTCGCGTCGTTCTTGTTTGAATCAGATTGGTCTAAGTATGTAAATACACAAATCTCAAACTGAGGCCGTCCGTTGCTCCCTTTCATTACCGCGCAATTATCAAGCAAAGAAGAAAGGCATCCTTGCATGTCTTCTTCAGTGTTATACCCAGCGTCCCGCGTATTGGTCTCTCCATCTTCGGAGTTCTTTGGTGAAAAGTTCACCTGGTTGAGTCGTTCGTAAATGCAGGTTCAAGGTGCCTTGGCCCTTCACCGCCCGTGAGATCGTGCTGGAGGCATATGCCGTGGACTATTTGATACAGGACGTCCTCATAGTGCTCATGAAAACGGCGAGGATTCAAACCCCTTATACGCACCGCATTGTGCCACCGCAATGTCGCCGAAAGGATGCGGTTTGATACTCTAGGCTCAAGACAGCGCGGTCAGATCGGCCTTTCCCGTTCGGGCTTGTCGTGTAACTTGTACATGGTAGTAGAGTCTGCAAAGGAGAAGGAACCGGTTTTTTTGTTTCCAAGATCCGCACCCCTCTTGATGAGGTGCTTTCCTAACGGGGCTTGCGCGGCGTGAGGAACATATCACAGCCACTTTAAGACATACTCACAGCCACGGACAATCCAGACTGAGCCCCTGTTTTGTTCCATCAGTTGCCCCCCGGTCCTTCCCCCCTGTCCGAAGACGGCCCCCCCATTCCCCCCGAGGACAAGGGCATCACGCGGATGGAGGTCGTGGGGGGGTACATCTTCCAGCAAATCGCCCCCTCGCAGTGCTACTTTCGGACGATTGCGGACATCGACCTGAAGCTGGCGCTCGTGCCCGCGTGGGTCATAAACTTCATCTCGCGCCAGCTGGCGGGGCTCGGACTCAAGCTGTTCGAAAAGGTAAGGACGGTCCGATATGCGTCCGCAGAGTTTGTACAAGGGTATTGGGGCTGCTGGGCTATTAGAGAACGAAAGTTTGGAGAACGAAGGAAGTGAGATGTCGGGACACGGCCTAGACGATGCGAAAGGGTGCACATACTTTATGTGTGGTAGTACAATTCTCCCGATTGACTGTTGCAACATTTCTTGAGAGTCTGCGTGAAGAGACAGGGCTGATTCGAGGGGAAATTTAGACGACTTTTCGAGCCCCGGCATGATGTCCGCTTACCAAAGTGCGGCAGTATCGACTTTCTAGGGGCCACGCCCGTTCGGAAAGTAGGAGCGCCAATGCACGGTATTTATCCGGTTCTGTCCTGTTTCGTGCATTGTGACTTCGCTGACGAAGTTTTCGCATCCAGGCGGTTTGCAGCAAGGTACTACATTTCCAAAGTATCCTACTTCTTGATAGCGAAGCACCCTGCAACAATTATGCCGACTTCGAAGAGTCTTCGTAATGGCCAGAATTTGCGGAGAAAAGATCCTGCTTGGCCACCGGCTCACAATTGCTTCGTTCTCTTGAAGGAGTTAGTTCGTACCGCATACACTGACGTCATCTCCGCCTGCGCAGGTCGTCCAGGACGTGACGTCAGCCAAGGACACCAAGTTCGTCAAGGTCTTCCAGCGCCTCCTGGAGACGGACCCCTTTCTGCAGCAGGTCAAGGGGGGCCTCGCGGCGCCCAAATCGGACGGCCGAAGTGCAGCAGGCTTTCACCGGACGGTCGAGGGGGCGTCCGAGATGGTGGTTAGTTCGAACCACGGCAATGCGTCCGGCAGAAGCGCAGAGGTATCAGAAGCCGAGGTCCGCGTCGAAGAGCATACCCGGCGGGGAACGGTGACTGAGGTTCGGAGTGACGAAACAGCGGGTGCGAATGCGTTCTTATCGAGTCAAGTAGGGGTTCGTTCTCGGACAGAAAATCGTGAGTCGGGGGTAGCACGCGAAAATGGCCAAGACCGTCTAGAAGGGTACGTAGATAAGAAAACGGAGCTTGGGGCTTCGTCAGATGCAAGGGAGTCAGTCAGCACTTCAGCCGACGGCGGTAGGAAAAAGGGTTCAGTCCCCAGTTTTGACAAGTACAAGCACGCGCAAGCGAATGGCAGTATAAGGCGAAACGATTATGCACCGGCGAGAGAACGGCCGTCCGTGAGCGAACAAGTGTCCACCAGCGGCGAAGTCCACCACTGCGTTCAGGTGATTGACAGGGCGATTGAGTTCTTCAAAGCTCGCAAAAGCGAAGCTGCACACAAATTAGATAGGCACAGAGATGAAGGAGGGTTGCGTAAGGTCGAGTCCAGGGACCAGAGACGAGGTGGGGAAAAGCCGGCGCTGAATGACGTCACGGACCCGAATGCTGGTCTTTGGGACCGCATGGGGCCGGCGAATGAGGTACACAAAGCAAATGGCACGCTTGACAGAGCTCTTAATCTAATGCGGACGCCTGCAAACTAACACATACAAGAAGGGATTTAGGCCGGCCACAGTTGTATGATTGCTGATTATCTTCTTACAGCTTTCCGTTGTTCTGCTCCGGTTTTATATCGATTTTGTGACCCACTCTTTAGCATGTTCAAAATGTCCACGTCAATATATCAGTTGCAGTACGTTTGGCTCGATGATCATTGTTGTGGCAAGCTTCCAAGCTCGAAGTCAACGTCTCCTGTACTAACGGTCCTGGTGTGGTCAGGAACACGTTCGATCAGGATTTTCATATATCGATTAACAATGATGGATTGCGGGGTAGTCTGCGGCTGCTGCCAGGCGAGCCCCCCCGCCCTAGCTGCGCAACAGTTGTCAAAAGTGCGCATGGTGAGCGATATCGAGATAAAATCAATTAGAAATGGCGCATCGATCATGGTTGCTAGCTGCAGATTGTGATGATCATACGCATGCACATCCTGACGGATATATGATCGACCATGGGCACATAGGAGTTTGCATGGGCGACCTAGGCGCGGGCGCTGCGCGGAATGATGCAACATGAGTCCCGCGCGGCGTGCGTGCATGCCTTCAGAATATTACTAGTTCGACAACGACCACGCATGGGGCGCGGCCTGCGCTTGCGCAGACGTACGGTATAGGGCGTCGATCACGGGTAGAATAGTCAGGGATCTATACAACATGCGCGAGATGTTGTGCGGGCCCTTCCTCATGATGAGATGCATAGATGAAACAAAGCTAGCATGCACGAACTTGTTAATATCAAATTACGAAATTCAAAGCTCATGAACATGGATGCTTTGACGTGCAACGCCCTAGCAATGAACGGCTATTTCGACTGGCCCGATCGATTGCGTGCATATGCAGCTTCCGACTAGAATTCAACCGGGACGTTCAAGGAAATTTAAGCCTGTTTCAATTCCTGACTTTCATACAACAAGAGGCGCTAAAACCGCAGTGCTAAATTCTTGTTAAAACATCGAAGTCTATAGACTATAGTTTATAAACTAACTCAGCTCGGTAACCTAGTATGTTGCCTGCAGTTTTCAATGTATCATGTCTTTACAGATGCCCTACGGGCCTTATATATCGTGGTATCTCATACGGACAGCTGCTATCGCTGCCATTCACTGCTATGCGGGCAATAATAAGAGTAATAAAAGAGTACTAATTATTGTCAATGTACACCCCAATCCGAGCTGATGACAGTTGTATGCCCCTCGCCTACTAACACGCAATCAGTTGATGATGATGCGCCTATATACAACTCCCCCGCGCCTTGGCATCATCCGGCCGCCATACGGGCGCACCTGCTGGCCCAGCGGATCGAACGGACTTCCGCCAAACGGACTCCCAAACGGACTGCCAAACGGACTCGCTCTCCTCACGATAACCCTCCCCGGTCCCATAAACGGACCGCCCAGAACCATTCCCCCGGGCAGGCCTGGGCCGTACGTATTGGGCCCCGGGCGGCCCCCCAAACCAGCCCCAAATACTAGAAAACCAAACGCCAGCTGCATCGCCAAAGCGGCGACCCGCTGCCAAGGGAAAGCGGGCACCACGTCGCCCTCGCGTCGCCTGCTGACGTCACCGCTGACGTCACCCCAGCTGGGCCAGCCGCCGCTCTGAGGGTCGCTCGGTTGAGTCTCGTCACCCCACCAGTCGCGGCCGGCCTCGCGGCCGGCCCACCAGGGCTTCTCCTCCGACCGCCTGCTGACGTCGGTCTCGGTCTTTGCTGACGCGAGCACAGGCGGCTGGTTAAAGCGGCGCTCTAGTTCGTCCGCGTCGATGACCTCTACGTCCGCAGCCTTGCTCCGCTTTTCGTCTGACTGCCGCTTCAGGTTAAGGAAATCGGGTAAGCTAACCCGGTCCTTAACGGCGACCTCGTCCCTCCGGGGGGTGGTACCAACCTCCGCCCGCAACTGGGTTAGCTCACGGTCCATGTTTGACCGCTCCAGGTTACGGAAACGTACTTCCAGCGACTCCCCAGTAACCTCTGCCAGGGCCTCCGCTTCGGCTTCAAGCTTGCTGACCTTTTCCTTCACCTGCAACAAAACAGAAAGAGATGAGCTCAAGTCTGTGGTTCGATGATCCATGTTTCGTTCGGATGCAAGAACGAAAAACCATCGCCATCTCAAGAACGCAAGAAAGTGGGCTAAAGATATACGAATCAGACAAAGAGGCTACGGGCGGCCTCCGAATACAACTCAAGAAAGTGGGCTAAGGAAATGCGAATCAAACAAAGAGGCTACGGGCTGCCTTCGAATACAACCGTCTGGTCAATCTGGAATCACCAAGCTATTGACGCTGATGTATTAATGCCAGGTCAAAAGGCTCCAACGAAAGACAACAAGGGCTGTTGCGAACTGCAATACTGCTCGATAGCAATGAACGGAAAGCGATATCGCCTATGACGAACATAGGACGAAGCAGTGTGAGCTTCTCTGACGCGCTTCAAAGCCACTGTTTGAGCGTGTCCGTCCCCTGCAGCGTGTCTAGCATCGCGAACGGTGAGAATGCGGAAGAACTTGAATCCACCATCCGATGCCAAGCGTTCGGAGACCATACAACTGGATCCTCAAGACCCACTTATCCGCAGATCAAAGCTTGCGTTGCAGCCGCTTACCTCTTCAAACTTGGCCACTGCCCCGCCGGTGCTGATCCCCCCCAGGATTTCCTGGACGCGCCGGTTGGCGCTCGCGGTCTGTGCGCGCGCGACGAGCGCGGTCCTCTTGGCGCGCGCCTCCTCGATCTTCTCCTCGAGGAGCCCCGCGCTCGACTCCAACTTGGTCAGCAGCGCCGTCTGCTGCTTCCACTGGGCCTGGAGCGACGCGCCGCTCGCCTGATGAAGCAGGAAGTATTTATATTTCTGAGCCACTCAAATCAATTGTTGGCCGTTTGGAATGTGAACTGTATACGATTACGAAACTTACCGGTGTGACTTGTCATTGATGCGTTTGCAAGATTGTCCATCCAAGTTGTGAAATGAACGTTCACTCAAGATGCAAAGGAACAAACAAAGATGAAGAACCACAGACGAAGATGAAGTACCACCAAACAAGCAAACCGTGAACTTGGAAAAACCCTGTTAGGAGCATGTCCTAAGCACTGCTCAAATGTGCTTCGTCCCTCTGTGCCGCTGTCTGCAAAAGGCACCTGGCTCTCAAAGCCGAAACTCATAAAGTGTTTTGCTCTCCTGCCGATCCCTGGCAAATAGAACCGTTACTAGCGAGACAAATGCACACGTTTCGAGCTTCCAGACTTCCCACCTGACGGCTCAGCAATGAAAAGCATCTGAAAAAGGAGTTCGCACCTCGTATTCCTTCTGGTTCCTCAGCGCCTCCCTAGCCAGGTCTTCGTGACCCTTCTCGAGCGCGCTCTTGGCCCGGTCGTGCCACTCCTGGGCGCGCAGTGCGGCCTGCCGCCCGCGGCCCTCCAACTGAGTAACGGAGAACTGGACCTGCCAGAGGAGGAGAAAAGTTTAGAGCTTCCTTTTAAGCGCCCTAGCTACGTAAATGCTTGCAACCCAGCACAGTTTCGACATCAGAAGAGTTGAGCCCACAAACATACTCTGCTCTTTAGCGAACATGGACAGCGCAATCGGGAACAGGCGATCTAATAACCGGATGAAAAAACTCGGATTGCTCCCTGCAACAGCTGGGCCGATGAATCACTCCAAGCTTAAGCTTGTTCTGTCAACACAGGGTATGAGCTGTGACCCCGTTCGACTATACTGTTTTTCAAGAGTCTCCAGGTGTTCGTCAAAATTCTCCAGGTGTCTGTCAAAACCGCCAATAAAAGCCACCAGGAATCTCCTTAAGTCCTTAGAAACGAGACTGATCGCAACCATTTAAACCAGCTGGATGAGGACGCTGCTGCTCAATCCTCACTTTCTTTTGGCTGCACATAGAACAAGCCTCTTCACAAAGCACAATCTTAACATGAGGCCAACGATCGCTTTTCCTGGTAGAGGAATTGTCATCAAGCGTCAACAAGCGCCGTCAAACGTCATCAAGCGTCATCAGCTCACCTGCTTGACCGTCTCCCGCACCTTCTGCCGCTCCCTGTCCAGGTCGCGCATGCTGTCGTCCAGCAATTTGGCCGGGTCCTCGATGGACGATTTCACGGCGGTGGTGTAGCTTTGCACCATGCGCTTGGCGCGCTTGAACACGTTGGCCTCCACAGAGAGAGGCCTTTGCTCGCCTGCACGGGATTGGGAAGGAACATTCTCAAAATGGACGTGGAGCAAACAACAGATAGGTCTTAGTGAGAACGCAAACTTTATGCGTTTCTGTACAGCTCAGCACTGTACGCTCTGCGCGCCCGCACACATCAGTATTCACGCACAAGGTCTCCAACAAACTATTGAGTATCTGAGGGGAATGAAGAGATGTGGCTGTAGTACTACACCACTGAAAAGTTCGTCCCGCAAACTGGCGCTGGTAACTCAACGATACTTATCGATGACGCAACGAACTCAAAATGGGCACGCTACCACCATAAACGACGTTTTGCCGATGCGGAAAGTACGAAGCAAAGTAGGGGGCATGTCAAAAGAGTATCCTAGTATCCTCCATTGTTAAAGAAAAGAGGGCGAGCAGTGGCGCGTGCAAGACCACATAATTCAAGCAAGAAGCGCAGACTCTGCGGGGCTGATGGGCAAAGGCACTGGCTGAGGCCTTCTCAGCTAGATGATGTGAGCAATATCCTTTCCCAGAGCGCAATGCCAAACCTCACCCTGTGAGTCTTACGAAGGAAGCCAGCCAACGCAATTCATTTACTCACCAGCAACGAGCGCAACTGATGCAAGTGACTGATTGCAGAAGGCCCTGTTGCAGCTACCCCTAACCTCCAACGACTCTGGCAACGTTGCAGCATCAAACTTACGGCACCTCCAGAAGCCACCATCTCAACTGGGGTAAACAAAGTCTAGCTCAAGAGGCGAGACAATCAGTACTATTGGCTCACCCTTCACGGCCTTCTTCTGGAAGGACTTGATTGGCACAGCACCACCTAAGAACTGGCTCCGGCCAGCTCCGCCCGTGCTCTTGAAGCTGCGTGCAGGCATCCCCACTGACAATCGCCCCTCCTGACCGGCTGGAGTTTTTGCTGAAGCAACCACTGGGGCCGAAATTGGGATTGGCGCAAGCGGGCGGAGGAGAGTTGAAGACGCCATGGCTGCTGCGATTGATTAGAGACTTCGGCGCGCGTGCGGATGTTGAGCAATAAGCTGAAGGAAACAGCTGGATGCGAGACCCGCAGACAGCTGGATTGCTCTTGGAAACCTGTGGCGCCCCTCTGGTGCTCCCTCAGAAATAGATGCGAATCAGGGGCTATCGTAGGGCGCCCAACAGTAAAAGCAGAATGTCACAGGAGGCGCTGCTCGCTTCCTTCTGATCAGCTGGACCTCACAAGCACTCAGTTTTAATACAGCGCTTCTTACAGGTCGTAATTTTCTGCTGAAAGCTGCAGACTGCCTCAGCATTGTGCATCATGCATGGTCGATCGGTCACTTTTTGGCCCTTATCGGACGGCTTCCTAAAGTCCAACATCCGTTATCGACGGTGTGCACGCGTCGACGTCGCCCCGGTCGCGCAACCCCGCCTGGAGCAGCTTCGAGGACATTCCGGATCTTAAGGGGGGATTGCAAACAAACCGTAAACGGAGCCCCTTCATAAAATGCCGCGGTTGCGTGACTTCTTGCGGACGGTGCTCTATTCAAACCGTCCGATGGCCGCACACGCTGCATGTTGGCCGTCCAAAGTCCAGCCATTGCGGACTAACAATTTTCCAGCCTGGCATGGTACCGTCCGGGCGTACGGTCGATCTGCAAAACAGGGCGCGGCCGCCCGCCTGCCATCCCTATACTAATAAGAAATCTGAGTTGGCCCAGCGCTGGGCCTTTTCCCCTGCCTCCCGTCCGGTGCGGACACAATGTCGCACCCCGAATCTGCCGTCGATTTCCTGTTGGCGGTGAAGTTCCGACCGTCAGATCGGAGTCGGAGGTCCCGAAAAAGTGAGAGATCAGCTCCTTGACAC